CGGGGGGCCGTCTTGTTGCGCCCGCGCGCCCAGCACCCGGAGCGGCGGCGACCCTCATCTAGGGCCCCTCAGCGCGGTCGCCCACACCCCGACTGGGGGCCCCGCTGCGTCACCCCGGGCCTAGATACGCCCCAGGGTGACAAAAATTACCCATGAACCCGATACCTAGCTCCGAGGGACCCGAATAAGCCCTACTGGCCCGCTCCTTTCAGAGACCTGTAGACGCAGCGCTGAGGGTCCCCCACTCCCGACCCCCAGGCTCCCTGGAGACCCAGATAACGCGCTGCTGACCTTACCAGGGACCCGGGTCTGGGGGACGTAGATAAGCTGCACCTGCTCCCTCTCCTCGGACGCGCCTACTCAGACCCACATAACCCCATCTTTTCTAGTCCAAATAGTCGCCTGTTTATCCTGTTTCAATTTCCAGACCTGCATAACTCCTTTTGAGGCTTCCCTCAAATACTTGAGTTTGGAGGACCCACAGAAACCCTACCTGTAGTTGCCTCATCAGCGGCCATATCGCCAAACTTAGACATCGTCTTTCATCTGTATACCCATTTTGAGACCCTCTTGAAATTCAGAGAATTCATTTCTTACTATCCTCAACCCCAGGGGCCCTCCAGCCCTTATGATCCTCCTTGTCTTTCTTTTAGGGGTCCCTTAAAGACCTGGATAACTTGCTCATGATTGCTTGTCATAATTGCCCTTCTTTACCATCTCTGGGACCCCCTCCAGACTTCTTCCTGAATTTCCATATGTTCTCTGGCTGCCATTCACTCCCATTTCTCCCAGCCCCAGGAGGAATTAGCCTTTCCTAGCACACAGCGGGGTAGTCCAGAAGCTGGCTTGGGAGCCAGGCTGTGGCCCCAACTCGGTAGGGAAAAGGGACCTTTAAGGCAGAGGATAAGAGGGCAGTTGGGTTGGAGGAGCAGCCTGTCTCCTGGCTTGTATGCTTTTCCACCTGTCCGCCTGGGACTGTTTGAGTTGGCCTTGAGTTTCTAATGTCTCCCTCCACCAAAGGTGAAGTCACCAGGTGGAGTGGGGGTGGGGGGTGTCTAATCAGGTGTCGTCCTGGTAAAAGTGGGGCTGTGGTGAGTAGCAGCCATTTGCTCAAGGCCTCCCCAGGAGTGGGAGGCAGTGGGAATCAGAGGAAATAGTGAATTAAAGGGACCCCGAAGAGGGCCCATCTACACAGGCAGAAGAACTATCCACCCAAGAGTAAATCCAACCCCTGTTAATCCTGTTTGATGTGTCTTGGAATGATGCAAGTCACTGAGACCCTCCAGCCTCCCTGTAATTTAATTCTCCCACCATTCTGGAGGGGAAGTGGGGGTGGGAGGGGGCAGCTATTCCCTTCTCCCTTTCCTTCCCACTGTTTTCCAGCCAACCAGTGTGTCTTTTGGATTTGTTTCTGGGGCTCAGGTCAGGACCTGGTTTTTTTTTTTTTTTTTTTTTCCTCTTAGTCTATTTATAATTTCCCAGTTGCTATTTTGGGTTCCGCTTTAGGGAAGGTTCTCTCCACCCTGAGGAACTTTCCTGGGTGTGTTTCCCCCTCAGCAGGTGTTGAATTGAGTTCTTCAGATCCCAAGTAGCTCTCGGGCCGGAGGGATAAAAGCTATTTTAGGGTAGTCACTGAAGTGGAGCTGTTAATCCTCTGTGGGTCTCTCTGGTAAAGAACACTCAGAGATTAACCCTTTTCTTGCTGCAGGGACTATCAACAGTTTGAGGGGGAGGTTGGGAGAATTCAAGTGAATTCCCACAGAACGTGGGGAACATGCAACTCAATACAAAGGCAAAGATAGTAGCTCCCTTTTGTTGAGCACTTACAGCGGCCCAAGCCCTGTACTGAGCCCTTTGCGTACCTGAGTAAAATAATCCTCACAACAAGCCTGTGAGGTAAGTATTTTTAGGTTTACAGACGAGGAAACAGACTAATAATGGAGAAGGAACGTAGTTTCTGTAGAGATGATGTAACACCATAAAAACTAGTTTCGTCAGAGGTCAGCAGGCATCATGGCACACAACAGAAGACAGACTGGGAAGAAATTTGTCTCTCTTTCGGCTTCCAAAGAGGGCCACGCAGTTTTTGGCAGACATTCCTATTTTGGGAACGGAGCCTTAATAATAAAAGAGGTTCCTAAAGTAAGCATCTTGGAGAACTCTGGCCCAGGAGATGGTGCTGGAGGAAGGTAAGGTAAGGGGGGTGGGGGCTGGTTAAAGGGGATGTGCTGAGGGTTAGTTGTGAGGGAAAAGGGGAAGGCTGCATTCTGGGGAGATGTTGGGAAGGGAAGGAAACTTACTCTGAGGCCTAAGAAATATTAATAACATTACAGGAGGGGAAAAAAACAAGTACTACTCAGGCCCCGTGAAGGAAGGAGGCAGATGCAGTTTAGGCCTCACAGGGGGCGCTGCATGTATTCACACATTTTATGCCAGACACTTAGAAGAGTCACTTTATTTGCCAGAAAAATCCTGTAGGTAGGAAGAAGAAATGTTTCAGAAATTGGGGAAACTGAGGTTCAGAGAAATAAAGTAACCTGCCCACAGTTGCATTGCCAGTAAGTGGAAGCTCTTCTGATAGCAAGTCCAAGGTTCTTTCCATGCTACCTCCCTCTTCAGATCAGGTGCCAGAAGAAATCTTAGGCTGAAAATACACTGAGTTATACCAGTAACTGGGAGGGATTGTGTTTGTTTTATGGGAACAGGTTCTGTCAGCTTCTCTATAGTTGTTAAGGTTAGAGTGTGAGACCAGAAGAGCAGCTTTGAAAGAGAAGCAGAGTTCTTTCAAAGTTTTGCCAAGGAAGGAGAAGTCTGAGGGAACAGGCCTTCTGATTATATGAGACCAGCCCAGGCGTCTCCCTAGTTCAGAAGAGTTTGCAGACAAAGGACAAGGGAAGAGAGACGAGACCCCCAAAAGACTTCCCAGGGTAACACCAGTAGCTTTGATTTTCCAACAGCCTGCCAGTGATGGTAGGTAAGGACTTCACTGTGCCTTTTTTAAAAGCTTAGGGGGTAGGATGAGGGTGTTTGGTTGTTTTCTTTTTAAAGCCCCTGCCCATTAAATGCAGATCAAGGCAAGCACATGGCTGCTGTCCTCCTCCTTTGGTTCTCTGTTTGTGTCAGTACAACCTCGTGAGTTCATCTTAGCCACCACCAGCCTCTTTCCTAGAAGCCCATTACTCACTCTTTCAGTAACAGCGTACTAAACTGCTGTGTCTTGTTTGTGCTTGTACAGAACAGATTAGGTGGATGTGTGGGAGGTGGGGGACGTACCGTTCTCTTTCTGAGTTTATGTGGAGTTTCCAGGGCTACGCTTCCCTCTCACACATCAGCCAAAGTGATGCGACTTGCTTCCCTTCCCTCTGGCTGCCATTTCCCAGCTTCCCAGAGGCTGAGGTGCATGATTTCAGAGATCAAGGAGGACGACAATTTGACTTGGAGGGTAGGGGGAAAACTCCCCCCAAAGTAGACGTGCACACTCATGCTCGTGCTCTACTCAGTTCCAAGGTATATGGTAATCGCTGGTATTATAAACGGGTAATTCCACTCTTGAAAAGGAGGAGGGAACTTAAACAATGAAAGCCAGACATCAGAGGCCTTTGAGGTTTATAGTGAAGCAGGCAGATATGCCGTGATGAGTCGAAGGCTCAAGTGGGACTAGTTTTTAGTGCTACCTCCCCCTCCCCAGCACGTGATTCATGCAAAATGCAGCCACCTTTGTGTAGATCTTTCTGGGCAAATCACTCGTGATGGGGAAATGTTTATTATGTTACATTGCAGTGTTTCTTCAACAAGAGGAATGGTTCCTGAACAGGACACAGCTCATGTTAATGATGAGCAAAGCTCTCTGGGGCATAAGCCCACTGATCTCATCATCTCGTTCATGGCCAGTCTGTTGGATGAAATGGTCACTGCAAGCAGCAGGTGCTAATGAGCTGAGCAAGCATTCTCTGGCCCACAGCTAGTTTGTGTGGTTGGAGCCCTCCCCAGATCCTCATGGACAATCCCGAGACACCCCCTTTGCTCCCTTCACATAGAAAAGCTTCATGATCAAATTTTGGCATGACTTCTTTAAAGGGAATCCCCCTGGTGTAGCAGGTTGCATTGCGGTTGGTAATCTGTGGTGAGCTTAAATGAGTATGAAATTTGGTCTGTTGTCCCCCGTTTGAGCATCAATACGGTAACTCCCATCCTCTCTTCCTCTGAGTTGGTGCCAGGAAAGGAGTTGTGTCACCCTTTGCTTGAGCCCTCCCGCTACCATTTTTACCCAATAAGAGAAACGCTCAGAATTCAGGATTTTGGCTTCCCATTTTGGAAGGGCTGTGAACCCAGTTTAAGCCAGAACTTCTTGGGCATAAGTTAGCCCCTGAGAATGAACTTGGTTCACTGACGAATTTACCCGTCTAAAACAATGTCAAGATTCATTGTCTAGGTGATAGGTATACGGAGATGAAAGAGAGATGATCTGAGCCCTTAAAGAATCTGAGTCTGATGGAGGAGATGAAATAATTCTATGTTCATAATGGAGAAAGGTACACATGGTATGAGGATCCATAGGAAGGGCCACTCAGCACCTCGGGGTGTTGGGCAGTCTCTGCTTAGGAGGCATGGTTCTGGGCCCCGAGATGAAGAGACCCAGAGAGGTGGTAGAGGTCAGGGTGGGACCAGTACTGCTTAGGGGAAATGCTAAGACTGCCATTGCCTTATCAGACAGAACCTCCTAATGTTAATGTGCTGCTAAGAAACACATCCAGCCCCAGGTCCTAAGGCAGGGGCTGACTTTTCAGAGTGTAAATTTCTTAAGTAAAGGCTTCTCTTTCCTTCTCCTCTGTTGCCTTTTGGGCATTTTATTGCTCCTTAGCACCTTGATGAAGAGGAGAATGGTGAAAGTTGGTGAATGAGGGGGAAATAGGCTGAGGAGGAGGAGGAACTGCTACCTCTAGGTTTAGTGGAAAAGATGTAAAAGTGAAGTGAAAAGAGAAATTTTGGAGTTTAGGGCTTTTACTCAGATTATCTCATTTCTTATTAAACTAGATCGTGCTAGTAATAATAGTTACCACTAAGCATTTACTAGGTGCCCAGCCTTCTGCTGAGTGCTTTATATTCATTATCTCACTGAATCTTGAAAACATCCCTATGATTTAGGGGATCATCATGCCCATTTTATCAATGAGGAAGCGGCTCAGGGAAGTAAGTAATTTGCTGAAAGTCACATAGTTTCTAAGCGGAAGGGCTGGGATTGGAATGGGGATCTGTCTGCCTCCAGAGCCCATGCTTTCATGGCACTGGGCTCACTAACACCAGGTGTTCTGATGTTTCAGGTGAAGAGATTGTTTTCTGAAGGCTGCGTTGGAGGCTGTGACAGAGCAGAGAGCCTGTGTGGAGCTGATGGGGAGGCTTTCTGAATAACATGGCCCTTCGCCATTAGCCTTGCCATGACCACATTTTTCACCAGCGTCCCCCCCTGGATTCAAGATGCAAAGCAGGAGGAGGAAGTGGGCTGGAAACTAGTTCCCAGGCCTCGGGGCCGAGAGACGGAGAGTCAAGTGAAATGCCAGTGTGAAATCTCGGGGACACCCTTCTCTAATGGGGAGAAGCTGAGGCCTCACAGCCTCCCTCATCCAGAGCAGAGACCGTATAGCTGCCCTCAGGTGCACTGTGGCAAGGCTTTTGCCTCCAAGTACAAGCTGTATAGGTACGTGGCACTCCCATACCTCTTCCTGCCCCAGGGTTCCCAGAGGACAAAACTACAGTGTGGGGCTTTATTTGTGATAGAAGAGTGGGGGTTAATTTGTCCCGAGAGTGTCCCTTGAACACCAACCATTTGAGGTTACTCACTAAAAATAATGGAGGCTTTTTTTTTTATTAGGACACTAGACTCTGAGTACAGTATCAGGAAGCCATGAACAATCTACACTGAATACTTTTTTCAGTGCTGCTTTCTCCACCCCTGTCAGTGTAGTGATGAGAACATTAGTTGGAAAGTAAGAATCAGTCTTAGAACTTTAGAAGGAAAAGGAGACCTGATCCAGCCTGTAAATTTTAAAGTGGAGGCTTAGAGAGGAGAAGTAACTTAGCCAAAATCACATAGCTTCTTAGGTGCCAAGCTGAATTCCAGGTCCTGCAGTGCCTCTTCTGCTGAACCAGCCTGACACTCGGATTGTTACTTCTGCCTCTGTAGAGTCCCCGGTGCCCCCTGGGTCAGGGGCTTTTCTGAAATTTATAAGCCAAGAACCCCTACTTAAAGTGAAATAGAATATAAAAGTCCTGGACTAACTCAGATATGGCAGAGCAGCTTTGGCTGCTTTGGTGGGGTGGGAGCTCTGGTCAGAAGTTATTTGGATTTTATCCTTGCCTTTCCATCAGAGGAACCATGAGCATACCTTTCACAAATGAAATAGGTTTGATGCAGTCCTCCACCATCCACTCATCTACCCAGCTATTTACCAAGCTCTTGCTTCTTACCAGACACAGTGCGCGGTGCTAGGGACAGAGCAGCGAGTCAGACAGATGGGGGTGCCGGCCCTTCTAGAGTTCATAGTATAATTATGGAGACAGACAGCTAACAAGTAAATACGTGAACAACATGACCACAGAAAGCCTCAGTTCCTCATCTGGAAAATACAGTTGATAGGAAGGAACTAAAACAGGTGACGGAGCAGCATGGTGGCCAGGACTGACCTCATGACAGTTCTGTCATCCTCAAAAATGTTTTGATTCTTTTTCAACTCCTGTATGTTATGTGGACTCCAGTCGAGGCCATCCTGTTAGACTCCCTTAGTGATAGTCTGTGTGTCAGTGGGAGGCTGCAGGAAAGGTTCTGGTCCAGGAAGCAGGAGCCCTGACTCTGCCCATAAACCACTGTGTGACCTTAGGCGAGTTACAAAACCTCTTTTGCCTCAGTTTCCTCACCTGCAAAATGAGGGAAAGGGACTGTAGGTCACTCAGCACCTCCCCTCATATGTTATATCAATTGTGTCACAGGAGGTTAATAGTAACCCTCATAGGCATGAGCATTCTTGAACATGAGGATAGTGGGTGTGTTTGTTACCTTTCAGGTAGAAAGAATCACTGGGTGCTATACTAAAGACAGCTGTGGCATACCTGAGTACACCCAGGCCTCAAGAAAGCCTGTGTTTAAATCTGGCCTCTGTCACTTACTGCTGGTGGGTGGGGCTGCCCTGCTCTTCCACCTCCTCGTCTGGAGAACAAGGTTAATGACACAGCTGACACAGGGCCTGGCAAACAGTAAGCTCTTGGAAGTCTCGCAGGGTTGACTCTGAATGTACAGTGGAGCTGTGGATTACAGTTCCTGGACTCTGAGCTGCTTTCCAACCAGACGGGAGCAGGTAAACCACGGGACACTGAGGTGCCAAACCATTTACACTTTTTAAAATTTTACTGGTTTACATGGCAAGCAGTTCAGATGGGCATGCGCTTGAAAAATGAATTGTCCTCACACTCGAAGTCACTATTCCTCTGTTCTCCTCCCCAAAGGCAGCCATTGGGGTTAGTTTCTTGTGTATCTTTCGTAAGACATTTAAGTATGTATTGCTTTACGTTTTTAATTTTCAAAAGGGTTTATAGAATACATACTATGTATTTCACTTTCCTTTTATTGTCTCATTTAAAAAAAAAAAAAAGACTTTTTTAGAGCAGTTTTGATTTATAGAAATATTGTACAGAAAGTAGAGAGTTCCCATATATCCTGTCTTCTCTTGCACAGTTTCCCCTATTATTAACATCTTTCATTTGTGTGGTAAATTTGTTCTACTGATAAACCAGTTTTGGTAACATTATTATTAACTGAAGTAGATAGATTACATAGGATTTACTGTTTGTGTTGTATAGCATTGTGTCGTTTTTAAATTTAATTTTTTGAAAAGGAAATTTACATGATTCAAAATTCAAAAGGTACTAAAGTGAAAATTCTCCATCACACCCGGCCATAAACCACCCAGTTCTTCTTCGCGTAGGCTACCAGGTTGTCATTTCTTATCTATCCTTCTAGAAATATTTTAAGGATATACGAGCAAATGTATATGTGTTTCCCCCCTTTTTATATACACAATTCCATTCTACATGCACTATTCTGCCTCCTTTTTTCTACTTAACGTATCTGAGGAACTTGTTGCCTGTGGGTGCATATAAGCTGCCTCATTTTTAATGAACGTTGAGCCTTTTTATGGACTTACTATAATTTAACCAGCTCCCTGTTGATAGACATTCAGGTTTCCTGATTTTTTTCCTGCTGCAAACAGTGCTGCAAAGAATAGCAGTACACATGATTTCGCTTTGTTGTGGATATCTGTAGAAGATAGTTGGCTTAGTATTCTATTCTCTGGTTGTACTGTAATTTTTGTATGTCATTCCCTGTTAAAAGATATCTCGGTTGTCCAGCCAGCCTTTGTGATCTCCTCTCTTTCTGCTTTTTCCCCTGTCGTCCATCCCCACCCCCAGGCACATGGCCACCCACTCAGCCCAGAAACCCCACCAGTGCATGTATTGTGATAAGATGTTTCACCGCAAGGACCATCTACGGAACCATCTGCAGACCCACGACCCCAACAAAGAGGCCCTCCACTGTTCTGAGTGCGGTAAGAATTACAATACAAAGCTGGGCTACCGGCGCCACCTGGCCATGCATGCTGCCAGCAGCGGTGACCTCAGCTGCAAGGTGTGCCTGCAGACCTTTGAGAGTACCCAGGCCCTGCTAGAACACCTGAAAGCCCACTCTCGCCGGGTAGCAGGTGGTGCCAAGGAGAAGAAGCACCCCTGCGACCACTGTGACCGGCGGTTCTATACTCGTAAGGATGTGCGGCGTCACCTAGTGGTACACACGGGCCGTAAGGACTTCCTGTGCCAGTACTGTGCCCAGCGGTTCGGCCGCAAGGACCACCTGACGCGGCATGTCAAGAAGAGCCACTCGCAGGAGCTGCTCAAGATCAAGACAGAGCCAGTGGACATGTTAGGCCTGCTCAGCTGCAGCTCCACTGTCAGCGTAAAGGAAGAGCTGAGCCCTGTGTTGTGCATGGCCTCTCGGGACATGATGGGGGCCAAGGCCTTCCCTGGCATGTTGCCCATGGGCATGTATGGTGCCCACATCCCTACCATGCCCAGCACGGGCATGCCACACTCCCTGGTGCACAACACGCTGCCCATGGGTATGACCTACCCTCTGGAATCCTCACCTATCTCTTCCCCAGCTCAGCTCCCTCCAAAATACCAGCTTGGATCTACCTCATACTTGCCCGACAAATTGCCCAAAGTGGAGGTGGATAGTTTTCTGGCGGAGCTTCCTGGAAGCCTGTCTCTCTCATCTGCCGAACCCCAGCCCGCCTCACCTCAGCCGGCGGCAGCTGCGGCCCTCCTTGATGAAGCACTGCTCGCCAAGAGTCCCGCCAACCTCTCTGAGGCCCTCTGCGCTGCTAATGTGGACTTCTCCCACTTACTGGGCTTTCTTCCACTCAATCTGCCCCCATGTAACCCACCTGGGGCGACAGGAGGCCTGGTCATGGGCTACTCCCAGGCTGAGGCACAGCCCCTGCTCACCACTTTGCAGGCTCAGCCTCAAGATTCCCCAGGGGCTGGGGGGCCTCTGAACTTTGGGCCTTTGCACTCCTTGCCTCCTGTCTTCACCTCTGGCCTGAGCAGCACCACCCTGCCTCGTTTTCACCAGGCATTCCAGTAGCCCCCAAGGAAGCCCCCAGCTCGGTCCTTGGCTCTGTCAGGGAGCCTCAGTACCCATCCCATCCTCATCCCCCATGAAGGCAGCTGAGCTTTCAGAGCTGGGTTCAAAGAGAAATTCCAGTGTCTGTATGGAGCACTTGGTTTGGGGGTTCAGGCTCTAGGATCAATTCCAGGAGGAGCCTTGAGCCCCCACCCCATGAAAAGATCTCAAACCATAGGACTTCAGGTATTTTTACTTTTTTTTTTTTTGTTTTTTTTTATATTATCTGAATCGGGAGCCACACTTATCCCTCTCCCTCTCCAAAGCATCAGAACCTCCTTTTCTTTGGGGAAGGGGAAAGCCTCTTGGACGTGTAGACACGGTGAGGGTTTCACCTTGGATGACCTTGAGAGAAATAGCCCAAGAAGCCCAACCTGCAGACCTGACAACCCTCAGTTTGATCAGGCCTTGCTGCAGAGGGTCACTTGGCTCCGTGGTCTGCCTCCAGCCACTGGGCAGGAGAGGGCCTCTGTTCTTCCCCACCACCCCCACCCCTCCTGCCCCACCACCTCCGTTTTCAGTCAGTGTTCAGCAACGGTACCGTTTACAGAGTCACCTCAGACATACCATTTCACCTCCCTTGCCGAGCTGTTAGCCTTAGAATGATTGCAGTGAATGTTGTTTACACACCGTGAATCCATTCCCACCAGTCCATTCCAGTTGGCACCAGCCTCAACCATTTGGTACCTGGTGTTAACTGGAGCCCTGTTTACACAGCGGAGTCGGGTCTCACTGACTTCTCTTCACTTGAGGTCACATTTTTCCCCTGTGGGGAAATAAACTGACTTTGGACTGCTTCAGTCTCTGCCATCTTCCATGACTGTGTCAGTTCCCGCCTTCCTCGGCAGTGTCCACAGGAGACAGGCAAGAAGATCGGAGCAGTTTCTCACAGGTCTGCAATTCTGTTTTTCTCCAAGTACATCATGACCCCCTCATCCTTTTCCTTTTAAACTGGAGAAGGGAAGACGTGAAAGGCATGCCCTCTACCATCACCTCTCATCCCTACCCCATCCTGAATACAAGGAGCTAATACTACCAGCCTTGGAAGGAGGGACTCTGGGTTCGGGGCTGGTACGGATAGCAAAGGAGAGGGCGTGAACCCCTCCTTTTTCTCTATCCTATGTGTCCCTTTTCCAGGAAGCTGTGGATTGTTGGAAGAAGAGTTTTCAGAAAGTTAGGTCTGGGCAGATACAGTTGAGTCCTAACCTGTGGCTGCATTGTTGCCCACGATACCAAACTTTTTCTTGTCCACAACGTTCCTTCTGTCTCCTCCATTTTGTAGTGCTCATGGATTCAGGGCCACTGTACATAGGCTCCTCTCTGCTTTCCATCCGAGAAGTTTTACCTTCCCCTTGTGGCCTCCCTCAGTTTTGCCCCCCAGTACCCAGCAAGGTTTCTTGCACCAAACGATTAGTTCTCTTCTGACTTGTGGGGCTCCCCTGCCACATACAGCAGAGCCCTTACCCAGAACCCAGCCCAGCCCCATCCCTACTTCAGTCTCAGTTCTGCGTGGGCTTTGCTTTTCCCACTGTGGGAGGGAGGCAGCTCAGGGACCACCATCGTGGGACCCTCTTGGGACACCTCCACTCTGATTCAGAAACACACTTCTACCTCTTTACTGTTAATTCCTACAGATGTAGCCAGCAGTTTCTGGGCAGTTCCACTAGGGCATCTCCACTAGGGTTTCAGGACAGACTACCAAGGACCTGCCTCGTCACTCAAGCTTCAACCTCCTCCCAGTCTTCCCCCTTTTCTGTCTAGGAATTACTTTGGTTTACCATCAGGAACTGAGCAGGTCCAAGACCGGGCTTCTGCTCCTGCCCAGGCCAGTACTTGTTTGAGGTGAAAGCCTTAAACTTAGCTCTCCCAGGCCCTGATGGGAAGCAGTATGGAGTGAATAAGCATGTTTTCATTTAGGCAGGGTAGCTTGGGCTACCTTAAAAAATAAAAATGTCTGGCGAGTTAGAATTTCAGACTAGGCAATTTGCTTCTAAAAATTACTTCCAGTGAGTCCCAGGGACTAATAAGATTTATTAAAAAAAAAAAAAAAAAAAGCGTCCACCTTGGTACGTAGCCACCTCCTGCATGCTGTGCATGTTATTGGGACTTGTGTTATAGGAAACGGTGTGTGGGAATCCAAGCAGGATTCACTGCTGCCATTTTTGGTGTATCTGGTCTTTATCATTAGACCCAGCAACCTTTTCACACTCCCTGCTACCTTCTCTGCACCCTTGGTTCACAGAGGCAAATGGGCTTCAGAATATAAAGTCACAGGCTGTAAAAGGAGTCTTCTCCTCTTTGCCTGCTCTTTACTGTCCCTTGAATTCTCTTCCTCCATTAGTGATGCTGGTAAACTCATAGGATAGACAAAGCAGCTATTTAAAATATAACTGGGGCCTCACCCCTCTTCACCTTTTCTCCTCCCCTCACCTCCTCACTTCCATACTGTCTCCTCTTCCCTCAATGGCCTCACCATCCACTAGGAATCTCCCTATCACTGTGAACTTTGGTGGTGCAGAGGAACATCTGCCTTCACCATTTTTGGACCATGGCCACCCAGCTGTTTCTTAAACCTTCCTTCCCAAAATTAAAAAAAAAAAAAAAAGCCTCATTGGCCTGGTTGTTCAAAGGATAAGAATAGCTTTATCCTGCACTCAGTACTCAAACTCACTTCACTACCCTCACTGAGGCCATGAGAGCGTGAGGGGCATCTGCCCAGGCAGCAGCCATGGCATGCGGCAAAGAGCAAACGGATCAGAAAAAAGGGGTGATGTCCCCTTTCCCTGCCACCTCCCCAGCCTCTGTCAACAATGAGCTGCCTTGAACAGGGGCAGGCCCCTCCAACCCTACACGGTAGCTGGTCAGCGATGGGTGTAGTCCTGGGGGTCCGGGGTGACATGCCCAGGTGTGTCAGCTCAAAGGATCTCTGCACCATCTTTAAGAGGTGGAAGGCAGGGAAAGGAACACCAAGGAGGTTTTTTCCTCCCCAACCTTTTACAAATGGCATTTTGTTAATGGAAATCTGGGAAGCAGGTGTGATTAATTAATTTTTTGCTCGTAGATACGGTCCTAAGTTGAAAATCTCCCACTGCCCTGACCTTTCCCTAGTAGCCCTTTAAATTTCCTCCTCCCTCTTTGGTAGCTGTTTTCTCTGCCCCTTCACCTCCCCTCTTATCTAGGAGCTGTTTTTAAGCACGATTTTTTTTTTAACAGTTTATTGTGTACAGGATCAATATTTTGCTTTTTAACAAGGATATTTATGTAATAAGAAACTTTGCCTTAGGCAGGTGTTGGCCAGAAAAGTCCAGATTCCTCTGAGACCCCACCCTGGCCTCTCCTGGAGCTCTGAACCTGCTGTGGAAGGAATTGGCTGCAACCTTTACCACTGGAGAGTGGGGTCTGAGGAGAGGGGAGGGGGCGCACTGGTCCTAACGGGAGGAGAACTGACCACGATCATCCAGTGCCTCCATGGAGGGGTCTGGAAGTATTCCAGTCCAATTCTTGAGGTGTCAGCCAACTTTCTTAGCTGATTCTCCCCATACATACTCCTCCACCTCTGAATATTCAGCACTAGAATTCCTGAAACATCACTTCTTATGCCCTGCCCTTCCAGTGGTCAAGGCTTTGCAGCCACTCCTTCCTAACGCCAGATTATTTAAAGAGAGAAAAATACAAGACAAAAACCTTCTAGCACTTTGTAAACACAGTGAATAACCTCTTGGAGTATTTTTGGCTTTATATAAAACAAGGTTTTTATTGTAAAATATAAGTGCCATTAGAAAATGCACAGGGCATATCTTTGTTAAAGTAGATTTTTCGATGTTTTACGGAATTACATTTTCAAAAAAAAGTTTTTATAATGAAGTTGTTTATTAAAAACTTCTGAATGATGTGTTTGGAAGTTGTGAACCTTTCTGATGGGGGCAGGTTGGAGACTGGGGAAGAATCAGAATGTCCAGACATCTCCAGCAGCCAAGGGATTGGTGAGTAAGTGTAGGGCAGACAGTAGCAACTCCCATTAGCACCTTCTACAAACTCCGTACTTTTAAATGAAAACATCTTTATTGGATGTCTTTGAGGTAGGTGGCATCATTTTATCAGTTAATAATCTTTTGGATGCAAGGGTACGAAAACCCAAATCAAATTGGCTTAAACAGCGAAATTTCATGTAGAGCAGCCTTTAGGAGTGATCCAGCAGTTCAAACGTGGTTGGTCTCAGCATTCCTGTTTCTCTCTGCCCTATCTTGTCCAGCTGTGACTTCAACCTCAGGCCCTGCAGAGTGGCTTCTCCTTCTGTGTAGGAGTAGAATGCTGCCATGATTCCAGACCTATCATTCTTCCGCATGCTGACCAGGAGGAGAAAGGGAGTCTTCCGAGGCTCTGTCAGAAAAGAAGAGACCTTTCGTTCACAGAAGCCCCAGTAAACATCTGTTTCATTGGCCCTGATGGAGGGCTGTGGCTGCTAACCAAAAGGTAGGCAGTTCAAATCCACCAGCCACTCCTTGGAAACCCTATGGGGCAGTTCTCTGTCCTATAGGTCGCTATGAGTCAGAATCAACGGCAACGGGTAGTAGGGTACTAGTAGATGGAGTTCTGTGCCACTCTAGAACAAATCACTGTAGCCAGTGATGACAAGGCTAAGAGGAGGGGAGAAGTGATTTCCCAGAGGAGGTTGCAGGTACTGTTAAGATGAGGAATGGATGTTGGTTGTCCAAGAAAAGACAAAGGTCTACCATAGTCACATGCTGCTTAAGGTCTACAGCTGGTAAGTGACAGCTACAACCTGACCTTGCCCACACTTGTGCCCAACCATTGGGTTCAGGCACTGTTGAGGCTGACAGGGCTTCACCTGATGGCATTGCTTGGCCAGACCCTAACGTAGATAGTCATCACCATCCTGGGTCCTGTCCCTTGTGCTGAGGTCCTTCCTTCCAGGGCTTAGACTGAATTGTCTTTCTGTGGCCTGGAGCCAGTGTTAGAGAGCCAAGCAATGCCATTCACTCCCGGAGCCCAGCCCAGGTGCCTGCAGGGGTGTCAGCATGTTAACGTATAGGTGTTCTGTGTAAAAGGCAATGAGCTCCTCCATCTCTTTGACCTTCCATTATACTTGACAAATGTTAGCTGTCCACCCCAGGGAACAGCTAGAGAAGGAGGTTTATCTTATCTAGTGGGTGGGAGGGGGCTGAAGGCTTTCTGGAGGAGGTAGCAGGGGCTTTGAAGCAGAGATGGGGCATTGGGAGTACTGACTCCCTACCTCCCAGGTGGTGAGTTGGGGAGCTGAGACCACAGGAGTGCAGCTGTGCAGGGTCAGGGCTGCAGGGGCTGGTCCAACCAGGATCTTAGCTTACCCAAGCATAGACCCTACACTCTAGAGTTTGCATTTGTGAGTTGGCTGGCACAGAGCAATAGCCCCTGGGCCTAGGACGACAGGTGAAGTAAGACCCACCTTTCAGCCACCCAGCAGGGGAAGATCCAGTCGCATGAGAAACCAGGCAGATACCCACTTGCTTCCGGGTTTGCAGCCTTTTAAGACCTTTTTTGCCCCAGACCCTTTTCATTCCGACTGTCATCTGCGGCTCCCAGTTTGAGTCTGGTCAGTCTCTGCAGAGCTACCTGTTGAGCCCTCTGCGTATGCCTGAATAATTTATCCTGTGCAAGAAGCAACTGTCACACAGCTGCCCCACAGCCACAGGAGAGTGTGGAAGCCAAGCGAATCCCACCTGCCTACTCAGATCTGGGGAACAGTAATCACCTGGCCTGATGGCATGACTGGGGCTTAGGTTTGTCCCTTACTGCCTGCTCCAAGCGGCTCCTTGCTCGGTTCATCCCTGCACTTCTGCCTCAACTGCCAGCGCCCTACTAATCCGGGGCCAGTTCTGGCCGGTGCCCGCAATCGCGCCCCCGCCAGGCAGCCCCCTGTCCCTCTGCTAGTTCTCCAGGCCCCTATCTTCTCGCAATCGAGGGACCCTTGCGAATCACATCCGGAAAGGGTGGGCGCAAGGGGCGGAGCGCGACCCGGAGGAGAAGACCGCGCCTCCCCGCCTCCCGGCCCCGGTCCCGCAGCCGCTGTCAGCCGCGCCCTTTCCCGGAACCCGCAGTCTCGCCCGCGCGCCCGAGCCCCCCAGGCCAGAGGTCCCACAGGTGATGGCAGACGAGGAAGCTGGGGGCCTGCAAGCCGCCGCGTATCCGCCGGCTAGCCCCGCGGCCCAGGCCCGAGAAGTGGGGTCGCGCGGGCACCCCGACCCCGCCGCGAGCCCTAGGAGTGCCCCGCCTGCCCCAGAGCGCCGGGAAGTGGCATCCCCGGTGACTGGCCGGAGCCTGGAAAACGGTCCTGCCGGGGACGAGGCCCGAGAAGCCTGTGGCGCAGAGACGTGGGGGGCCAGGGCGGGAGCCAGCGGGAAGGCCGAGGAAGTGACGACTGAGGAGGGCGCCATCTTCATGGAGGAGGTACAGAAGCAGCAGGTGGGAGCAGAGGAGGAGGTAGGGGAGGAGAAGATGGAGGTGAGAGAGGAGAAGGAGGTGTTGGAGAGGCTGGTGGAGGAGGAGAAGCTGGAGGTGGTAGCGGAGGAGCAGGAGGTCCCGGGGCTCCTGAACCTTGATGGCCCAGTCGTGGACCCACTGGAGGCCATCCAGTGGGAGCTGGAGGCTGTGAGTGCCCAGGCCGACCGGGCCTACCTCCGGCTTGAACGCAGGTTTGGGCGGATGCGCCGGCTGCACCTAGCCCGGAGGAGTTTCATTATACAGAATATTCCAGGCTTCTGGGTCACCGCCTTCCTGAACCACCCGCAGCTGTCAGCCATGATCAGCCCCCGAGATGAAGACATGCTCGGCTACCTGATGAATTTGGAGGTGAGGGAGCTCAGGCACGCCAGGACCGGCTGCAAGTTCAAGTTCCGGTTTTGGAGCAACCCCTACTTCCGGAACAAAGTAATCGTGAAGGAGTATGAATGCAGATCCTCAGGCCGGGTGGTGTCTATTGCCACTCGCATCCGATGGCACCGGGGCCAGGAACCCCCCGCCCTGGTACACAGGAACCGTGATACCGTCCGCAGTTTCTTCAGCTGGTTCTCACAGCACAACCTCCCCGAGGCCGACCGGGTTGCCCAGATTATTAAAGAGGACCTGTGGCCCAACCCTCTGCAGTACTACCTGCTGGGCGATAGGCCTGGCAGAGCCAGGCAAGGCCTAGCGCGGTGGCCCATAGAGGTCCCTCCTAGGCCCTATGGGTTCCAGTCGGGCTAAGTCTTGCCCTGGGACATGTTCCCTACATAAGACTCAGCTTCCCATGGACCTGTGCTTAGGCTGATGAGGGGCCCCCTGCTATCTGCTTTTTCTTCTGTGCACTCTGGCTCCTCTGGACGTTCAGGTCACTGTACTCAGCTCCAAGATGGTGGCCTTCGTGTTTCCATGTGGACTTTTGTGCCAACATCAGTGGCCATCACATGCCACTGCATCTATGCCAAGCACCCAATGCTGTGTATATGCGTGTCATCTGACCTTCATGGCCTGGACCTTTCATGGCCTTCCCATCCATTTTTGACATGGGCACCTGTGAGTCATTGCTGGGATGACCAGTGTATCTTCGAGGCCTACTACTTCAAGACCACAACATGCTGGGCTTTTCCTTCATGCTGGCTATGCTCATGGTGGCCTCATACATGGGCTGTGGCAAGCTGAGCCTCATCACCCAAGATGAAGCAGGTGCATTTGGTGCCAGCCCTCCCCTAAACCTGGACATTACATGGCCTCAGGACCATGGGCCAGGCTACCACCACCAAGACTACTGGGCATCTGGCAGAATGGACAGGCAGCCAGCGGGTGGCTACTGAGCATGGATAAGGCCAAGGGCACGAAGCAGTGGGCAGTGCATTCTTTGTGATCACCCTGCTCTTTCTACTCCCATGTTTGCCCTACATCATGGCCTGCTATTGACTGTGAAGGTCTGTACCATGCCCCACCAGCACCCGGCCATCACCTTTCAGATGAGTTTTGCCCAGGCCACCATCATCCCTGTTCCTGATCCCTGGTCTACAAGGACCTCAGGAACTACCTTTGGGCCCTGGTGGGCCACCTACCAATGCACAGGAGAACTCCAACACCCCCCCCGCCCCGCCCCGCCCAGGAACTCTGCCAGGTTGGCTTATCTGGGCACGTGCTCAAGGCAGGGGCAAAGACAGGATCCCTTCCAGGAGCCCACCTTCCTGGGCCCCAGTCACTGGACCCATACAGCATCCAGGCCTTCTGCCTCAGTGTTTTCCAGCTGCCAGGCTGGGGGTGCTGGGAAGAGGTGTTTCTGGTCTGGGGGCCTGTCTATACCTGCCCAGAAACAGAAAACACACACACACAACTAAAGAAGCCAGGTTTTTCAAACAGCTAAGGAGACAGGCTTTCTTGTTGCATTTTCCTCTCTCTCCAGAGAGGGAGAGGTTGTCCTATAAAGGAGACTGCCAGCGTTCCCTTCGCCCCCTCTGCTCCTTTAGCAAGGCCTAGAACCTTCAAAGGGGGACCTTGCAGGGCTGCAGGACAGAGACCAGGAGGTCTGAGCCCCCACGGGCAGGCAGAGTTCATCGTTTCGTTTTACGCTGTGTTCTTTGAGACTAACTTTAGCCCAACTCCACTTTCTTCTCCCTTTCCTCCAAGCCTCCCCGCACCCAACTAGGCTCACGGGGTTGTTGTCTCTGTCTTATTTCTGGGGGGCTGGTGACCATATCCAGGTTCTTCCCATGGAAGGCTTTGGCTCTGCTCCCAAGGACCTAGGGACACCTTAGCCCAAAGTGATGGGGAGGGCAACAGAAGCGACAGTGTGATGGAAAGGCGGGGATGGTGGAGGGAGGAGAGCCCCCGAGTTTTCCTGCCTGTTTTGTAACCAATACCTTTTGTAAATTAGAAAAACCCATAACAGAACAATGTAACTTCAGAGGTTCTCTTCCTTTCTCTCAATCTGTCTCTTCCTCTCTCTCTGTCCAGGTATAACCTTGAGTATGTAGAAAATTAATGCTTTTATTTCGCTGCTTTTAAGACCCTCTGCATCCCTTTCACCATTTCAGCCAGGTGGGGAAATTGAGCTGTACAGGCCTGCTTGTTGCTTTTAGTTGAGAACATTTACAAGACCATCAGTGTAATTTTTCTATGCCATCTGGAAACTTATGACTATTCACAATTGTTATCAAGTTGCTGTGGCCTGTTACTATAACTGTACTTAGAAGTGGAGTTTGAAGAAGGTGGTTTTGCAGGATTTAAGACGGAATTTTTACCATGTTCTGTGAGAAAACCTCCCAAAAGAAATCTGTACCCCTGGGTGGTCTGGATGATTCTATGTCCTGGTGGCCATGCTGTAATGACACCACTATGACTGACATCTCTGCTTCTAGACAGAAATATTTGTGAGGTGGCTTTGTCCAATCAAAAGAGGATTCGTGGCAGCTTGTCTTCTATATGCATGATAAAAATAAAAATAAAAACCTTTAAATCTGGGGGGAAAATAACTTAGATCATTTACCTGCCCTGTCCAAAACCTCCACTGGCAACAAAATCCTACTTACTTATCATGGCCACAAAGCCCTGTGTTTTCTGTCCTGCTGACTTTTCCCATCAGCCTCCCCCTCATTCCCTCTGCTCCCCGCCACCTCTGGCCACTCTGCTGTCCCTTAAACACCAAGCACATTCCAGCTTCGAAGGTTTTGCACTTGCTTTTCCCTCTTTCTGCAATTTTCTTCCTCCAGATATCCTCATTTCTGGCTCCCTCATTCATTTAGGCCTCAGTTCAAACTTCACTTCTTCAGAGGCCTTCTCTGCGCTACCTGCCTAGAATAATCCACCCCTTCCTGTCTCCTATTCCCTTCATCATTTTTTCCATATCACTTGCCACTCTCTGAAATGATCTTGTTTTTTTTAATCTTTCCCCTTCTAACATGTGTCAGGAGAATGGGGACCCATCTGTCTGCTGCTTTGCCCCATGTGGATAAGTGTCCAGTACCTCAATAATTATTTGTTTTGTGAGTGAATGACTTTATCCAATCATGTCAGTACTGTGCTAAAAACAAAAACCAACCAGAAACCAGTTGCTGGTGAGTTGATTCTGATTCGTGGCGACCCCATGTGTCAGAGTAGAACTGTGCTCCATAAGGTTTTCAATGGCTAATTTTCAGAAACGGATCGCCAAGCCTTTCTTCCAAGGTGCCTGTTGGGTGGACTTGAATCTCCAACCTTTCAGTTAGTAGCGGAGCACATTAATCGTTTGTCGCACCACCCAGGGTGCTAAACCAAAAAAACCAAACCCATTGCCGTTGAGTCGATTCGGATTCATAGCGATCCTATACAAAACAAAGAATAACAAGGCATTATTCCTGCCCAGAGGCTTTCGGTTGGGTGGAGAAGGGTGGGGGGAGATGAAGGGTGACCGCATAACTTGTCATCTAGCTGGAACACATCTGGGAGTGAAAGGGGGTGCTACTAATAATTACACTAAGACAAGAGGTCTAAACTGGTACATAATGGTCACCCTGTGGAGACAGGATGCAACTAAGTCCAGTTTGGCATACAGCTCACCCCAAATGAATGTGATACGGGATCTGAGGGTGGAGACTTCTCTGAAGAAGGGACACTGGAGCTGGCTTTTGAGGACTAGGCAGTCGTTGAGAAAGTGGGGTTGGAGAAGTGAATTCTCAGCAGAACAGCACAAGCAAAGGCACCAGAGTATGAAATTACAGGACACAGCACGTGCCCTGGGTGTGGCTGTGTGGGGAAGGCAAGGCTGCTGGGTAGGTTGAGGCCTGTTTCTGAAAACAGGAACTCTGAACGCCAAACCAAGGCATTTACTGTAGACAGTGGGGAGGGGTATCAGGTGTGGTTCAGGGGAGGGGGGAGCTCACAGGGCAGCTGGAGGCAAGGGGAGGTGTTTACAACTCCAGTTCTCTAGTGTCTTCAGTTTGAACCTTATTCATCCGTCCAGGCTGCAGTTCCTCCAGGAAGCCCCTAATGATTGCCCCAGCCCACAACAACCTCTGCCACTTCCCAAGTGCAATCTAGAGCCAGAATTTTGGGCACCCCTGCCTGGCCAGGCTCCACTGTCTGGGTTTCTCTTTCGTGCCAAGCACCTGTTCCTGGAGCTCCCCGGAGAATCAGAGTGAGCTTCTAAGCTCCAGCGATCCTGGAAGTTGGTGTCCACGTGGTTTGTCTGCCCCTGCCTGGTGGTTGGCCGGTGCACGTTGGCTCCAGCAGCCCAAATCTGGGCCCAAGGCTGGTTCCTCTCTTCATTCAGGTCTCTATTCAAATGTTACAATTTCACCTCTTCAGGGGAGATGTCCCTGACCACTCTTCCTGAAAAGCTCCCTGTCACTGTCCCTTCTCCTTCTCTGATTTGGATTTTGTAGCACTTGCAACCACCTGACATTATAGTGTACATGCATTTACTCATCTGCCTTGTTCTCTGTGCCCTTGGGGACTTTGTTTGCTGCTGTCTCCTCCTCACCTTGAACAGTGCCCGGCACAGCCTGGGGCTCAGTAACTCTGTGGAATAAATGAATGCATCACATCCTCAAGGGGCAAGAAGGTCTTCCGGGTGGGCGAGGGCGACAGCATGTACAGAGGCACGGCAGCCCCATGAGGGTCCTCCCAGGGCTTGAATCTCTCTAGGGATAGGCCACTTGCTACATCTGAAGGCAGCCCTTCTCCAGTCTTTGCAGTTGAGGCAGTAAATGTCTCCGGGCCCATTTCCCAGTCCCTGCCACGGAGAGGTGGCCACCTGGCTTAGACCTGATTCAAGGGCATGGAAGGAGGTCAGGGTGAGGAGGGTACTTCCTGCGTGGGTGGGAAGAGCAAACACGAGGCTCTGACCCCAGGGTTTTGCTCACCTCCAGTCTCAGGTGTCCGCACTATCTTGTTGGTCTGGGAAGGAACTCTGGAAGAGTTCTTTTCAATCTGAGAAAAATCTGTCCAAAAACTATGGCAATTACTGGTAATTGGCAACCGACCTGATTACAGCTCTGGGGACTCTGGTATTTTCTTCCAAGGATACGATTTCAACACAAAAATTCAAGAACGTCCTGGCATCTGCTTGTCCTTGCTCAGCAGGGAAACTAAACATTGACTTGAGTTGGTGAACTTTGAGGCCCTCACCCCACAGGTCCCACCGTCAGCGCGGACTCAGGATTGCAAGGGCCAGGGCTATGGTGAGCAGGCCCCCGGGCTGTGGTGGAGCTGCCCCGGGCAGCTCTTGACAACACTGTGTGGCCTTCAGAGCTCTCCCCCAATTTCCTCATCAAATGGAGAAACTTCAAATTCCTTGAAACCCACTGCCACTGAGTTAATTCTGACTCACAGTGACCCTACAGGACAGAGTAGAACTGCCCTATAGGGTTTCCAAGACTGTAAATTTTTTTTTTTAAATTGAGTTTTAGATGCAGGTTTACAGAACAAACTAGCTTCTCATTAAACAGTTAGTACATATATTGCTTTATGGCATTGGTTAACAACCCCATGACATGTCAGTACTCATCTTTCTCGACCTTGGATTCCCTATTACCAGCTTTCCTGTCCCCTTTTGCCTTCTAGTCCTTGCCTCTGGGCTGGTGTGCCCCTTTAGCCAAGACTGTAAATCTTTACAGAAGCAGACTGCCACATCTTTCTCTCACGGAGCAGCTGGTAGGTTCAAACAGCCAACCTTTCCGTTAGCAGCCAAGCGCTTAACCACCGCCCCACCAGGGCTCCTTTCAAATTCCTCAGCAGGAGGGTGCCTCCCTTCCACATGGAGCTCCTGCTCACCCCTCCTGGCCTTTGCCCATGTTGCTCTCCCTGTCTGAATGTTCTCTTGTGCCTCTTGCCCTAACTTCTGCCCATCTTTCAAGATTCAGCTCAGGTGCTACCTCTTCTCTGGCCCTGGCTCCCCCAGGTCATCCATCCCTTGGTGAGGCCACACTATGTTATTTGAGCACTCCCCCACTGCGCTGAGAGCTCCCACAAGAGCCGGGACATGTCTCTTTTGTTCACTGCTGCCTTCCTGAACCTAGGATAGTGCCTGGCACATAATAAAACGAAACCCACTGCTGTCAGGTCAGTTCTGACTCATGGCGACCCCATCTGTTCAGAGTAGAACTGCTCCAAAGGGTTTTCGGAAGGCCATGATCTGTCAGAAGCAGATTGCCAGTCCTGTCTTCCAAGGTGCCTCTGGGTGGGTT